CCAGTTCCGATTTACTTTATAAATTCATTTCGGAGGGAATTTCTGAAGAAATCCAAACGCAAACATTCTTAGGAAATTTGCGAAAAATATTGACATTCAATAAGGTAACACATACCCTGGCAACGCAACAAGATTTCCTTCTTGTGGGGCCCACTGCTTGAAAACTTCAAGTGAGAAACCTCCGCTGATCATTCCAGGTGTCGCAAAAAGAACGCAAGGACCCGGAGAGTTAATCAAAGAACGATCAAAACTGGAGACTGAAAAATTTTAAATTTTACTTTAATTTAATGCATTTATACACTGGATCGTATGGCATACACATGATCAGAAATTTGATATGTTATAGACAAATTACAGTCAATTGTATGGTCGGCCTGAAAAGCGTAAATCAATGTACTAATATAGAGCTCATGCATTTACATTTTCAGACACACCGTATAGTTTTTAATGTCATCTACTACAGAAGCATGAAAAACCTTAAATCTCATGCAATGGTGGACTTACCATTTTTGAAGTCAAATGGATTTCGTGTTGCATAAGTATCCTTCACCTTCTGGCTGGTCCAGTTGATAAGAACTTTATAGTAAAAATTCGCTTGTATGGTCAATCCTGAGAATGAATACTCTCGAGTTAATGAGCTGAGTCGCATGCTATAAATAAAACTTACCACTGACAGTAGATTACGACACATCAATTAACACATATTGAATTTCAATTACAAAAAAGACAGAAATAAATGGGGGAGAAACAGGCATTTTGATGTATATTTATTACAACAACAACAACAACATAGCCTTTTAGTCCCAAGCAAGTTGGGGTAGGCTAGAGATGAAACCCAAGAGAACCAAAGGTAAGAGAAACACAAAAAGGGGCTCAAAACAAAAGGAAGAGATTTGATGTATATTTATTACTCGGGAGAATTTCATAAATCACGACAGTAGTTTATATGTTGGACAGGATGCAATTGCTCAATTAGCGACTAATCCATTCAGAAATTCAAGCGCTTATAGGAGAAGGTTCGAGAAAATGAGCAACGCAAACAGATATAGAACTAAAGGAAACAAAGAAGGCATACCTGCTGAGAAATATATAGGAACTTTGAGATTCATTCTCTCCCAGTAGTCATCCAATAGCATACAGAGTTCCTATAAAATGACGTTGCTAGGAGATACATAATCAAAGATTTTGAAAATGGGAAATAAATCTATATAATGTTTCAGCATGTAAAGTTCAGCACAAAAAACTACGTAAACATATCAACCAAAAAAAAAAAGCACTTTGCACAGTTCCACATAAATTATGTGCAGCAAAGATGAACTTTCAATCAAACTCGCATTTCGTTCTTGGGAAACAGGACTAACTTAATTTTGAAAGACATTAAAAAGATATTTGACCAGTCCCCTATGAGACCAACAACTGAAAAATATACACGAAGAACAACAAAAACAATAAATCCTAAAGTCACTGTCCTAAATCAGAAAATAAAACCGATATGTAGTCTGTGATTAATCAACTCAGACCTGAGCTCTTCCCAGAGCGAAGGTAGGAATTAGAACTTTCCCGCCCCCAGCAACACATTTGTGAACCTGCAAGAAGATTCAACGAGATGTGAATTGCAGCAAATCAAATGACAAACGATGTCATATATAAATATCAATTGAGAAAACAGGACTGGAAAAAACATCACAGGACATACAGCCTATATAAAGTATTCACAACGAGGAAATTTCACTAAAGCAAGTTGTTGAACTAAATTTATTCGCAGAACGTTGATGGAATATAATAGAAGAGAAGCAAAATTTTATCTCCTATTGTAGAAATTCTTGTATATGTAAGATGATTTCACACAACAGCTAAACAACTAAACAAATACATACGTTCTTATATTTGGTGAGAGCTTATGGTGTTATTCTTACAAGCCACCATCCGACTCACTTAAGAATAAATGGATTATAAGTTTGATTAATTTTTTATCATATGTATTGTGTCTGGCAACCATAAAACTAAAATAAAAGCCATATCCTGCCAGTTTAACTAATTGAACATGCTATGTAAATGTGACATTCATGTGCCTGTATTACAAGTTTCACCCCACAGATTATTCCACTTTGTTTGGATGATCCTAAATGGACACACAAAGAAAACAGCATAAGGGCTTAAAAGTTAAGAACGATAAATATATCATATATATCAGATAACTTCAGACATACTGCTTTCAAAAACTCTCTCTCTCGAACATATTTTGAATCGCGATATGTTGTCGCATAAGTGGACCTGTCAATCAAAATTTTCAGAGTTAATACGAACAAATCAGGATATGCACATAAAAAAATAATAAACAAAAAAAATATCGAGCAATACCATAAGGAATATAGTTGTCATAAAAGAAGCATCCAAGGCGACAGACACTAAAAAACAAAAAAAAAAAAATACGAGTTTTGAATATATTCACAAGGTGATTGGCTCAGTAACAAAAATGCAAAAATTATAATGAGACATCATTAAGAACTAGTGATTTCTGTAAATTAATGGCACGTGTTATGATTATATATATACACACAGTTTGAACTTCGAAAAATTTTTAACGAGAAAAATATAATGATCACAAGCTAAGGAAGAACCCCAAAGCTAATCTCTACATCAACAAACTTAATGTTAGACGAAAGTAACAAACTGTGAGATACTAATTACTTCATGGGGCTTAAATACCAAACTAATACACCTGAGGCCAAACTTTTAGATTTCTTACATGCCCTGCGTAGTATGCTCGGATCTGAAGGTCTTTATCAACCTGAACTGTCTGCTTAAGATCCACTGGCGTGACTGTTTGGCCGAGAACATAAACACAAGTAAAAAGCACATTACAGAGATGATTAAATAAAAGCACAACAGAATACTTAGATCAATCAAGAAAACCCATTGCAGGTCCATTTTGACTTCACAACTACTAAATTGGGAACTAATTAGAGGTTATATTAAGTTAATGAGTTTTCAGTTAAGACAAAAACGACGCAATGAAGGTTCACTATTCTTTTACCTTTTTTCATACACTCAACAATATGCTCAGAGCTAAACTGCTCTTCCTCTCCTCTTCTATCAACCATCACTTTCCGATAATCCTCAAGCATTAATGGGGCTAGCGCTTTCGTTGGATACTGCATAAAAAACTTTAACGATAAAAAAATGTTCAATAATTTTGAAGAACAAATATGAGGGTTCACATATACCGTCATGTAAATGGGGCCATGATAGCCGCAAACTTGAGTGAAATACGGGAGGGCCCCAATATGGTCCAAGTGAAAGTGGGTGATGATTATGCACGAAAGTGAGCTCGTGAAGTCGCCGCCGGCGCCGGAAATCGAAGAGAAGTCCGGGTACCGGCGGTGGTCGAGGTAGCCCATGTGCATACCACAGTCGAACATTATCTTCTTCCCGTTTATGGTTACAACCACGCAACTCTTCCCCACTTCTTGCCCCGCGCCTGTGAAATTCATAGTGCCACTCAGTAAATCAATACACCAGAAAAAAAGGGGGAAAAAGAGAACATTTTCGAAGTATTCAGTTTACCAAGGACGAGGCATTCAATAGCCATGATATGAAGGAGACTCGAAAGTCGAAACTGTATCCTAAAATCCCACAAAGCGTCGGATGGCGCTTGTCCCAAAACGACAGTAAATCCTACGAGCCTGCAGGAATCACAGGCGGAAATTGATTACTCTCAAGCGGCTGGAGCCGCGGCTTATCCTCGGCTGCGGCGTGGAGCTACTCGGGCAGAATTGACTAAATATTTCCTCAGCACGACGAGGTCCAGGTCATATGAGCAAATCCCAGACTATAAATACTGTTAGATCATGTATATTGTATGGTGTGTCTTTGTGTGTGTGCCTGTTCACTGGTGCAAATATATGCGTTTGTGTGTGCGCGCTCTGTTGAGGAAGACGAAGATGGAGAATGCAGTCAACACGGGCGGGTTATGGTGGGCCGTACGTAAAAAGGGCCTAACAACAACTTTTGGACCTCAGGCTGTCAGTTGAGCAGGCTAGGCCCAACCAACTCTCGAAAAAGAAAAGAAAATAGAGAAAAACATTCACTAAAATAAAATGATGAAAGAAGTGTTAGAGAAGAACTAATAATGAGTAGTGACAACATAATGACCTCGACGGGCTGAAACGAACTTGGATCTGTTCACGACCGGTAAAGACCTGCAAAACGGCGCCGATGATTGTCCCGGCGTAGAGATTCCGACAATCAAGTCAGTAAACAATGATGAGGAAGACGATGAACAATAAACGATGTATATAATTTATATGTATATTAGAGTGTGTAGAGTGTAAATGTGAATAGCTCACTCGCCTTTTATATAGGGACATTACATTGTTGCCTAAGACTACCTGGATGGGTTGCCCGCTTGTCCGAACTACCCATTCGTACTACCCAGGTGCCCAAACTGCTCGGTTCTGTTGGGCTACGTGGCTCGATACACGTGTGGTTCTTATCTTAATTATATTTCTTTTATTCACTAGTCTGCCTTGTTAAACGGTCTAATTATACGACTGACCCGAGTCCCTTTAGGGTTGATTGCCTCTACATTATGTACACAGGTCAATTCATCAACCTGCATGCCTTGAGGTCAAGATTCTATCAAGTCATTCGAGGGCCCTAGCTCGACCTGTCGGCGATCCTTTTTACCTGCGTCGTCACCATCGACTCGATGCCTCTTTGACCTCTGGTATCTTCGAGCTTCGATCAACCTACCAGTTCACCGATTCGGCTAGACGACTTCTCGGGTCAAGTCACCAAATTATGGTATCCTATATAAAGTAGCCATAAACATTTGAATGAAATAATAACAATTCACAATAACTGTTTAGATAATTGTTTTTATTTAAAAATTATACTGAAAATTTGGAATCGAGTAGAGTGAAAAAAGAACAAAAAATGAGTAAAAACTCCGTTTCCTTGGAGTGTCCCGTTAAGCGAATACAAACTATTCAATTCGAATTCGAAAATATTATAGTATTCGAATCATTTACTTTCAATATTTATAAAGTCGCACCGTCAAAACCAACAGCAACTATAAGGCTTGTTTGGAAACACTTATTGAGAACTCAATTTAAAGATGGCTTTTTAAAAAGTGACTTTAATATGAATATAGTGCTTGTTTGGACTTATTCAAAATGGACTTCTCCAATAGTCTCCATCATTTTCTTCTACATAATGAAGTTTTTTTGGAGAAACAACTTATGGACATAAGTGCATTATTAATTTGAGCACCAAACACAAATATCTATCTATGGACTTGTTCGTTCCGCTACCGTAATTAAAGAAAAAAGTTGCAAGCCAGTAAAATGGAGAAAAGACGAACTTCAGGTGCGAGGGGATTTGCATGGTGAACTCATTGATTTGAGAAGACGAGTGTCGAGTGACGAGTGGACAGTGGAGTGTGTGTGGGAGGAGAGATAAAAACATGGGCTTGGATTAAGTAGATAATATTTCACTGAGCTTTTGTAACTTGTGTATAATAACGATTTTCGGTTCTTTTTGCTTAACTAAGCACTTATATCCAAACCGAACTGAAATATTCGATTTCGATCGGTTTGGCTCTGTTAATCGTATTTTGCGCAATCCTAAAAATTATGAGTTTTCGAAACGATACCCATTCTTCCTTTCTGTGCCGACTATCTTTCATGTTCCGAAAACAGTAGTCAACATACCGTACAATTATGGTTTGCAGGTGATAAGGATGTAGTTGCATCAGAAAGGNGCTTTCTCTTGATAGAAAAACAGTTAACACCCCCACATCATATGTTTTTTAAGTCGAGATACAAACTTTACCTCATCCAAACTTCGCTACGGAAACGGGAAGCAAAAACAAATCACTGATCTTGAAAAATCCTAGGAGGAAACAACAAATATTCGAGAAAAGAAAAAAAAAGAGAAAGAAAATAAAAAAAGAGGTCATGCAACAGTGTTTATGTCCGAATGTGATCTCATCGACTGCCTAATTTTCCGTAAGTTTTGAGCTATCTCAGTCAAGAGTTTTGTGCCCTTATCCCCTTTTTGCAAAGCCATAGCCGCATGCTTTAAGAAGCCGCTATCTGTTTCAATGTCTCTTAATCTTTCCTTGATCGAGGACACTTCTCGTGTGAGGGTAGCCTTATCGTCCTTTCCTGCTACAAAAACGTGAGAATATCGTTCATAAATCATATAAAGTTCAAAACAAAGGAAAAAAACGGATGTGTATAGTAGGAAATGGAAAACAGTATTCGAAAGTGCCGAATTTTGAAGACTAATTAGAGATAGTTTACAAAAATCTTCTGTCATCTTTTAGACCTTTTTCCAACAGCAGCCTTAGATTCAGATACGGTGTGCATAATAAGAAGCCAAATTAAGAAAAACAATAAAGAAACAAATATACAGAATTTCTTGCAGAAACCAGAAGTGAAGAAAAAAGGAAAAGAATAAAATTGTTGGCACATTTACCTTCATCTTCATTCTTGATCTTGTTAGCCTCAGAGGAATTGCGTTCTTCATTGGCATACAACTTTTTCTCGAGATCGGTTAACAGACCCAAAAGAAAAAGCCTCTCGCCCTCAAAATCGAGCGATAGCATCTCTTCATTTTCCCCTCTGTTCTCCACACGTTTTTCATTATGAACACGTTCGCTCTCATTTGAATCACCTTCATTTAAGCTGCCGCTAGCCGAATTCTCACTAAAGGACACGAAAGACTGAGATTTCATTTCTTGGTAATCTTCATCATCCTCGATAACCCCAAACTTTTCTTCGTACATCTCCAGTTTGGCCATTAAAGCATTTATGTCGTCGTCCTTCTGTTCGAGCAAATCTTGCATAGCCTACAATTTTATTTTATTTCTCTCTAAATTGGTAAAAAAAATGCTCTGCTTCTTATTCCACCAAAAAGGGAAAAAAAATCTTTAAATGCAGTTTTAAAATGATATCCACAAATCGAAAATTATGGGAAAAAAAAAATTAATCGTAACCTGCAAAGCTTCCTCGTCGTATTCCGCTTGCTCCTCCATCATCCTCTGATACTGTAAAGCCTCCATTTGGACAGCCGCTTTCTCGGCTTGCAGACGAGTAATCATGGCCATGGCATTATTTGCCGCCACATTAGATGCATTCCTTTCTTCATCGAGTTCCATGTACAGTTCCATTAACGAACTGTGGTCCAAACGGATTCGTCTCCTCATGCGATTCGAGATATCGGTTTCCATGTCTAAGAGTGGGTCAGTATCATTTGGCTCGTCTTCCTTATCGGTTGTTAGCTTTTGAATGCCGCGTTTGACCCATATGGGACTCACAGGAGCCGACTTTAGAGGGAGAGCGAGAATTTTGTTTGCTCGGGTGAGTTTTGGAGTCCGATTTGCGTCATCCTTTGGGTCCTTAGAATCCGGCGGTAAGAGGGTTGGTGTGGCCTTGATCACATCCTCTTTGTCTTTTGCATCAAGATATTCACAATTTATTTAGAATCTCCATCGTGTCATTTATTCATTCAAGTGGAAACAATAAGAAATAACAACCGAACACAAACACGAACACGAACAAGAACAAGAACCTCAAACATCACGTATTTCTTCCTATGGACGAGATTTTCACAAACTTTAACGTCGAAATCAAGAGGAACATATAAATAAAGAGATGATAGAAAGTCACTTTCTCGTGGAAAGATTATTGTCGTTTTGGATTCTAGAAACCATTTCTACAACATATCCATTACGGCTATAAATCATTTTTCTACGAAAGGCAGTTATTTTCATATTATTCAAAATTTCAACACACGACTCTAAAACGAGCGCTTGAGCCTCCTCACCTTGAGTATCGACGACGTTCGAAGAATCACCCTCCAAATACCTAATGCGCGGCGACTCACCCTCCGAACATTTAATGCGCGGCGAATCATTCCTAGCCGAGCACCTAAAGCGCGGAGACTCAAACCCGCGCCACTTGTCGGTCCTTCCCGCCGCATGTGGAGACAAACAAGAAGCCTTCTCGCTCATCATCGACCGCCTCCCCACGCAATTCAACGGTGAGGGCCTCGTCCTCCGAATCTCCCCACAACAAGAACACTTAGTAGTAGCAGCAGTATCCGGAGGAATAATCCCCTCCTTCACGCCCGATTTCAGGTCGTCTCCATCCGCCGCCACACGCGCGGAGTCCTTCTGCAGAACCCCGGCAAGTGGGTTGTACTTCTCGTAGTCTGAGGAGTCCTTGTCCGAGAGGAGACAGCTCCGGCACATGGTGCGGACGTCCGAGAGCTTGTCGTGCGTGCGGCAGTATGTGAGGGATGAGATATCCTGTTTGTGGACCCCACACAGGGATTCATCGTAGCGGTTGGTCCTCGTGCAGATGGGGCACGGTGCTTGAAGCCCTAACTGTCGGGCGAGCTCCCGAGTGGCTAGCGAGAGAAGGCCTTCGGCAAAGAGGAGAGCCGCCATGGCCCACTCGAGGGCCGCACGTACGAGAAAGGTCTTGATGGGGCCCACGGGCATTTTGCCGAAAGAATGAAGAAAACTGAGGGGAAAAAAAAAAAGATTGTGAGATTGGTTGAGGGATTTTGAATCTTTTTTAGGGATTGGTAATGAATCCCAAATGGTTATCCCTCAGTAATCTCTCTATTTTTTTATTTTTTTTTTTGTGTGCCTTTGTTTGTGAGTTAGGAAGGAGGAGGAACGAGGATGTCTGGTTTTGCAGAGATTTGACTAAATTTAGGTGCTTTTCGATAGTAGTATGTGGTCAAGGGTAGTAGATTCTTGTCAGGCGGGCAATTTACCTGAATTAACGGTCTGACACTGACAGAGAAAAAATCTCTATTTAGAGATAATCGTTCGTTTATTAATGGATTGAACTCCATTTAGAGATTGACAAATAAACTCCGGTAATTAACTTGTTTGATAACAAGCTTTTTGAACGATAAAACGACAATTTTGAAAAACCTCAAAAGAGCATCAGTTTGAGAAGACAAAAGAGTGAATTCAAAGAAGAGAATACTACGTAACTACAAAATTTCCGTTATTTACAATTATGTTTATTTGATAAACCGCTAATCGCATTCCTAGTCAAAGACTGTCAGACCAACTAATACAATCAGTCATCCGGCTAATAGGCAATCATTACCTCAATCACAATCTCAAAATTAATAACCCCTTTTCGTCGAAAATTTNAAAAAAAAAAAAAAAAGGATTCACATTCTCGCCAAATTTTCTTGCCCCCCAAAAAAAAGCTGAATTAGCAGCAAAACATAAGGTAATAGGTACCATTTAGTTACCTTCGACAATCAAGTTTCAAGACAATGTCATTTCAAGTTAAATATTTCAAAGTACAATTAAGTGATAACATGCTTTTTTTAGCATAAGACAGTAACATGTTGATCCGAATATGATTCAAGTAGTTTGATTAGCAAGTGCTTAATAAAGAAAGCTATCTCGAAACTCCACAAGCGATAAACGAGCACCTAATTAGTAGAGACAACGTTTGCAAACATGTAAGGAGAAACACAACCTTGTACCTGAAGAAAGAGACAAATGAAACAGCTCGGGTTAAAATGTCGATCTTTTATTGCAGAGAAGAAATATGTTATTTATATAGAGATCAAAATGCTTTCCTTTTTATTCGAATGGAATAAATTTTAATGGATGGTGAGTGATATCAGTCCAATTGCATTAAGTTACTATATATAAATTTTCAACAACGGCAACAAGAAATGATAAAATAGAAACGAACATAGATAACTTCAACAGAATGGAAGGATGAAATACTATGTGTGGCAAATTCATATCCAGCAAATTTTGGGAGGAAAATAGAGAAAGCGAAAAAATTGTTTCCAGCAAGATGAATATGGAAATACCTGTAGTAAAGCAGTTGGAATTTGAATAAAGCCTTGAAGTAAAAGATCAACATCTTCCAAACACTGCTGTGGAACAGGAGTTATAACATGGAGCACCCCATTAAAGGTGTCGATGCCTCTCACAATCCCTGGATCATTCAAGAGCGAAAACTCGAGCTTTCAATAGAAATAAAAGAAAACAAAATATTTTACTGAGGAAGGAATGTGTATTTACTGTGATTGGCCATGTGCCCGAGTGAGAATATACCATGCTTAAGGTTAAAAGAACTTACCCAAGCCAACACATTGAGGAAATTGATCGGATGTTGAATCGACTGCTAGACCAACAATACTCGCATTCAAACTGTAGAAAGTTTCAGTCACTGGGACCTATTCAAGAATTCAACGCACAATCAGAAGCAACAGGCTAAAATAATCTTCAAAGAGATACTAATTCAATGTTCATAAAAATAATGCGAAGATCTGAGTAGGTGAATGTACCTGGCAGTGAAGGTGTTTGATTTTGATGCTTGATATGGGAATTTCGTAAGGTGGGTGAGAGGCCAGTGCACGAGCAAGTTCCTTGATTGTGGAGATGGTTACATCACTTGGAAAGCATTGTCTGAAGTATGCCATTACACGAAGATCACGTAGAAGGCGTGCATCTTTTCGCACCAATATCCTGAATAGGAGATAGTTTTTAGGGAATATATGCAAATTGACACCTCATAGATTAAGATTATTGGAATTCAAATCGACTTGAGGCTGATAACCTCACGACGACTATTTTAGAAAGGAAAAAAAAAAGGTAGTTCTTCAGTAAGGAGAAAAAATCTAGCAAATGACAAAAATTTAGAGAGGAAATATCACATAGTTGTCGTATTTGAATGCACAAAATAAATCTCAAAGACTTCACTGATGGAAATTGCACATGCATTTAGAATTTCAAAAGGCGTACAATACATGAAAGCCAAAGTCATGCGAATGCGTTAAAAACCTTTTAAAATTACAAAAAAAATGATAGTATCAGAAAAAAATCAAATATTTAACAAAAACAAGTATTAAAACGTACGATCTCTTGAAATTGTCCTGGAGAGCAGCACTGATCTCAATGACAGTCACGGCATCGGCATTCCCCTCATCTAACCAAAATGCGCCAGCTGGTAAGTTCTTGCTCTCGGCAGATATCTGAATCTTAACCACATGTGTAGGAGACATATGTTTTAGCATGTCTACAAGTAGTTCATAACCGATACCTGGCAAATAAAATAGATTAAATAGTATGACATAGTGCTAAAAAATATTTTTAACTTCAAATTTATCACAGGNAAAAAAAAAAAAACGGAGCAACAATGGACAAACCTTTTACCCAGCCAGGGGTATTTATGACAAGTGGCAATCCGGCACTGTCCTCAGTTTCTCTGTTGTTAACAGTGCAGTATTTTTTCGTATAGTGATCATACAGGGCCGATATGTAAGTCAAATATATGGCTGGGTCCCTTTTTGAAGAGATATCACCGAAGAAAAAGCATCTGAAATAATGTTGAAAAGTAAATATCTCATGAAAGTTCCATTCATGAATTTGTATCAGGAATGTACTTGCAGGGATAAAAATATGAATCATTCATGCTGTGTGGTAATAATTTTTAATTTATTTTATGGAATAAAAAATTGTTTTACAATAACTTCTTAATTTATATACTTTATTTTCTGCCTGTATATACACACACAAACACACATTATTTTCTTTTTGTTGATTCAGATACTTTGCCATCTTTAAAATTGTAATATATATTAATTGACCGGCCTTTGTCAGGTTAATAATAAAACTAATTACTTTTCTATAGACTGTTAAACTGCTCACTTATAACGATTTCAGTTTTCCACCCCTTTGCTGTCGAAAATACTGGTCGCATTATATATAAAAAAAAAAAAATAAAGTAGTCACAACAACACAAATAGAAACAATCAGGAGATTCAAGTAGAAAATTTGTAAGTAAGATCACAACTTTCAATACAATAGCAATGGTAGTAATGCATGCAAGGAATACACAACATATGGTCTAACGGTCAATGATAAGCAAAACACTTATCTTTTAACTATAGGCATAATTCTTTCAGGAATGAACGAAAACTAGACAAGCAAAATGTAAGAAATTCACCACCAATAATTACTACAGATAGTATGCCATATGAACAGAATAGTGCATATCATCAAAGATGCCGATTATATGAGACTAAATTCATATGCAAGCCAAAATCAATTTGCATATTTCATACTTTTACAGTTTTATATTCATTTTTATTGCCTTTTAACAAATAAAAATGTATAAATACAAACAGAGATCTCAGATGCCACGTAATATGATCAAAATAAGTTGCGAAGTGCATACCTCTCGGGAGTTTTCAAGCATGGAATTGTCAGATCTAAATAACAGAAAGGTACTTTCATATTAGCATTTCAAAATTAACAAACAAACAGCCTATTCAAAAGTAAAATCCGTGAAAATAATATACCTGGAGTTATTTTGTCAATAACAGTAAGAGACAGAAGACCAGGAGGAGTAAACTCTGTCTGCCCAACATCAGTATCAAGATAGGCCACTCTTTTGTGCCTGAAAATCAAGATCTAGTCAGTTTTTTAGCATTTTCTCCTGGTTAATGAAAAATATCCACCCTAGATGAATCTAAACAATTAGAAGTCTATGCTAATGCTTGCTTGTTCAGCAAATAGAGTACTTCACTCCCAACAAATTCATCAATAAAACAGCAAATTGTGTATTGCAACCAAACATCTCCACCAACAATTTGTCGAATAATCTACTTAACATGAGAACCAAATACAAAGCTGGAAAAAGTTGCAATTTTTAAAATGATCACACGGTGAGCTTCCAAGTAAAAATTTACAGCCATTCACAATTTTTAAAACTCACTCAAACTTCACAATCAGCTCTCTCCCCCATCAGATAACTTCAGCTATCCACAAATAATTAAACACACAGCCAGATTACAAAATTTTCCCAAAACCCAAGTCAATCAATTCAAAGTTCCACACAATAAGGCCATAGACAATGCAAAGGAATGACCAACAACGTATTACAAACAACGTGTATTAGTTCAGACACCATAAGATACCTCTGGAGAAGAACATTGACGAGGTGGCGGGAGAAAGTGGTTTTGCCGCTGTTCTTCGGCCCGCACACCAAGGCAATCGGAAAAGAAACGCCGCCACTGGCTATGGCCACGGCTGCATCAGACCATTCGTCGGGTATAACAATTGTTGGAGATGGGCTCTCGTTTTCTGAAACCGCCGCCATATTCGAAAATAAAAGATGATTTTCACTTTCCCAGGTTTGCGCTATCTACTGGTTCTTCAATGGATTATTGAAATGGTACGCGACGGTGGGGAGTGTTTTGAGCTGGTGGTTTAGTGGTGGGACGGTGGAAGCTGGCACGCCGCCGGCGTGTGTTTTAGTCTTTTGTGAAAGTTATTTTAAAAATGCAATCTTTCGAATATTTTGTTATAAGCATGTAAAAAATACCTAAATACTAAATAACTTCTATAAAAATTTACACTTACCTTTTTAAATAAAAAAAATAAAAAATTGTTATTTGGGCTCAACCCTTTTGAATTAGATGTAAAATCAGCTTAGTATAACAAATGTAAGGGCAAATTTCAACACTAATAATGCTTCCTTAACCAAGTCATTTGACAAAGTTTATTGACAAAGTGAGGTGTACGTATAAGATTAAAAAGAAACTAACGGCTAAGATTAAAAATTATTTTTGACTCTAATTTATTTTTCTCACTAATATGTGATTATCTTTTTTTACGGATGGCGGCAACAATTTCATGTGGGCTGTGACCACCCATTGAGCCATATTTTTTCAATCAAACATCGAAAATAAATATTTTTGTTTATACGTAAAAGATGTAAAAACTAAAAAGATGTAAAAACTAAAAAGGTTCCATTTTGTTCTAATTTTTTAAACTTTAAAAATGCATTCTTGTCCGAATAGTCTTTGATAAGTTGGCAGAAGAACATAAAAAATTCTATAATAATTACACATAATTGTGTAAAAATGTGGTTTGGCCAAAAATTAGCGGTTTGAGTAATTTGAGTTGTTTTACTTTATAAAACCAAAATATGAGTATATCAAACAAAATTAGTGAAAATAAAATATGGACTGTGAAGTTTGGTAAATCTAACTAAAAAAATCAATGCTTTGAAACTCGGACCGGCCGGTGGGTCGAGTAAAGGTTGGTACCGATTCGGGTGGACCGTTCGGATCGAGTAACAATGTGCTCGGTCAACCCTCCTTTGACACAATCGGCCCGGATATTAACCGGACAGAGTTTGACCCGTCCCTGAATTTTTTTGTACTTTTTATTTTTAAAAATAAAATTATATATATATATATATATATATATATATATATATTTATGTGGTATATACTTGTGACAAAATACAATGTTATTAAGGTCGTGGTATAAAATTTACATATAAACAATTTATGTTTATTATTTTATAAAGTTATTTTGACATCAATCTCTTAGGTGTGTTGGTAAAAGTATTTACTCAAACAAAATTCATTCATACTCAAAATTTAACTTTAACTTTAACTCGACTCCACTATCCTCAATATTATCAATATAATTAAATAATAACAGTAAATCATTAAATAACAACAACTAATCATTTTTACAATATATCAATTTTAATTCACTATTTATCCACTCACTTAATTTAACTATCCATCACTTCATATCATCTTTCTCATACTTTTACATCAAATCAACTTTAATTATTTTATTTTAAATATTATTTTAATATTCTCAAAATATATACTTATATTAAAAGGTATACCATTTACCAGATTTAGTATAAAGAAAAGTCACAACATTTATTGCATTACTATTTCCGTATTATACAATCTATACTTATATAAAAGGAGATTCTATTTACTACATTTACTATCTAGAAAAGTTAACTGAATTAAATGTCATTACCATTTTGGTATTATAATATTTTATTTATTTAATTAATTTATTTATTTATTTTATTTTAAAAAGGTAAGTATAATAAAAAGATTTTAATAGTAAAAAAATCAAATACCAATTAAAAATATACACTTTTACTTATTTGATTATATTTGGTATTTGATTATACCAAATATATTCCTATTTAGTATATACATTCAATATTTACTAAAGTATTTATTTGTTTTATTTGTCAAAGTTAAGTATAGATTTGTTTATATTATCAAATCATAAAAAAATATTAAATCCATATTGTAAAAAAAATCATATAATTTTATAACAATTTTACTACACTATTTATCAATATTTCTTTTTTATTATATAATAAAATAATAATTAAATATTATATGGTGAACAAAAATAAGTAAAACTGTTGATTTATTTATTTATATAAAAATAAAAAAAATTAAGTGGACATAAATAAAAAAAAAATAAAAGAAGTGGAAAAAAATCAAAAGCACGTATTCTCGGAATACGTTTTTTAAATAAGAACGTATTCTCACAATACGTTTTTCAACAAAAACGTATTCTGAGAATACGTGTTTCTAAAAAAAATTAATTAAGGTGATTATCGTAATTAAATTAATTAAAATAGGTTAAAAAACGTATTACCGAAATACGTTTTTCTGAAAAAATATTTAAAATTAATATTTTTAATTTTAAAAAACTAATTTTTTTGGAAAATAATATTTGGAAAAGTAAAACGTATTCTCAAAATACGTTTTTTAACCAAATTTGCCCCAAATTGATTTTGCCCTTTTTGTATCCCCAAATCGATTTTGACCTAATTTTGCACAGTACAAAAACGTATTCTCAAAATACGTTTTTTAACCAAATTTGCCCCAAATTGATTTCGCCCTAATTTTATCCCCAAATCGATTTTGACCTAATTTTGCACAGTACAAAAACGTATTTTGAAAATACGTTTTACTGTGCAAAAACAGCAATTCACAGAAACAAAATTACAAAAACACACCTGTTAATCGAGATCGATTCCACAACCAAATATAAATTCACAAAACCCATATCAACCATGTCAAAGAAACAATAATGAAGCACAATAATTCACTTTCCAAATATAAAATTCCAAACAAGTTCAAATATCATTACACATAAATCCACGAAAGAAAAAAATAAATATATATGTCTACAAATTGTCTCCGAATACAACACAACTAACTAGGAGTGTATCGATTGGTAGGGTTGCGTGGTCGGTTGCTAATCCGACGCTGTGGTGGTTGTGCAGAAGACGATGCTGTGGGTGTGGTAGGTTCTTGTTCTTCTTCTTGAGCTGAGTAATTAAGTTTTTTAAGAAATTAGAAATCACAAAACATAAATAAAATTATATTTTTGTTAACTAAAAGATGTTTACCTTCTTCTTGTTGTTCCTCAGGCCCGGCGTCGGCAACTGGTTCGCGGTGACGTCGTCTTCTACCTCCACGAATATGGGGAGGAGGTTGATGCCTGGCTCGGTGTGACTGCGTCCTCTGGGGTTGGACGTAGCTCTCTTGTGATAAAACTTGGCTTGACGACGTCCCCTGACCGATCTCTCCGCCTCCGACAGTCAGAGATGTGTAGAGAAGGCTCTTGGCATATTGGATTGCCGCCTGCATCTCCGGATGGGCTGTATGATATAGATGCTCAACATTGGATAACACGTTATAAGCCCCCTCCATGCCGCTAGCCTGAAAATTTAATTCAAAGTAATTTTTATGAAACGCAAAAAATAAAATAATAATAGAACAAGAAAAAAACACACACACACACACAAATTATAAACACTTACATCGCACTTCCAATGCTCGGCAAGTGGCTGATAGCCTCCGTCCTGTTGTACCACCGGGTACTTAGCAGGGTCACTGATTAGTCTCACAGTCCTGCTGTGAAACCAATCAAGGTAGCCCTGGCCAGGCTGTACGAATGACTCCACACGCTCATCTGGGAGGACATTTTGGTGTCGTTCGACCCAAACATTCCCAAGCTGGGAATGAAAGTCCACCCAATCATATACCCCCCTCCCGGTCATTCCCTGGCCCCGGTGGTGTGTCTCCCAGTCGACCTCACCCGTAATGATCGGAGTGTCGGGGATGGACTGATGACACCCGAACTGACGGAGGACTCTACCCGGCTCGTGGGTTTCACAGATGTCCCAACAGAACATCCAGCCCCTATACATCCAGAGGCTTGAATGTTCTGTACACTGGCCCGGGAGAGCATTAGCATTCAGGAGGTCTTCATACGGCATCCAATCGAACTGTAAAAAACAAAAAAAAAATAATAATAATTTCGTAAGTTATTAAAAGATAAAACACATAAAACAAAAAATAAATAACAATCAATAATATTTAATCATAATCTTACATCCGTCTCTCTTAGCCCTGTCAGTTGATCCCGGACAGCGGCTGTTCCCGTTACTATGTGTTTCGTGTCCTTCCGTCCCACCCACCTTAAAAATCACAGAAAAAAAAAACATCAGAAATTGTAATTAGAAAATTGATAATTGAAATAATAAAATTATAAAATATATAAATAAATATCATTACCTTCCACCTAAAGGACAACCAATGACTGTTTGAAATCTCGTAGCCTCCTTCATTCTCGGGCGAAGCCGAGGGATACGTTCCCATGCCCAAACCTAAAGATATAGCCATATTCATTTGTTATTAAATATTAGTCTAAATTTAAAAAAAAAAAAATGAATTTTGAAATAACAATTAATTAAATGTACCTGAATCAATTGGACACAGCTCTTGATCCAGCCTTCTCCGGTCTTGTAGCTCGTGCACAGCGCTCTATACACTGCGGCCAGTAGCGCCGACCCCCAGCTGTACTCCTTGATCTTATCGATGTCGCGCAAGAGCTGGGTCCAGTACAAGTTGACTCCACAGGCCCTCTGATCGGGAAAGAAGAACGATCCAAGGCACCAGAGGATAAGCGCCCTCGCCCTCTCTTCGTAGGTCGATATATCCTCTCCATCTTGCAGCACTCTGTTGCATTCGTTTTCCAACCTCGAGTGCTTCAGATACTGGCCCACAATTCCCCAAGTTTTGGGGTTGGCTGTCGGGTCGTCTGCTGCCTGAGAGTGATTTATATATATTAAAAATCAAACAATGGATTATACATAAACAAACAAAAAATAAAAAAAAAAAAAATGTGTTAAAAAATTTACCTGGGGGTCGAAGCCTAGAAGGTCCACACACTCGTCTCGCCATTGCTGGTTTGTCCAATCTACAGTCTCTCCCCAGCAAGGCTTTCCATCGACCGGGAGACCAAACAGGACTTGTACGTCCTGGAGCGTGATTGTGGCCTCCCCGAAATCAAAATGGAAGGTGTGCGTCTCCGGTCGCCACCTTTCGACCAGACAGGTAATTAGGCTGTTGTCCGTCTGGACTCTGCCCATCCGAAACAACGGCCCAAAACCCGTCCTATCGATCACCGCTAAAACCGCCGGATGTTGTCTGTC